CACTACATATTCATATATTCATATATTGGAAATTGAGGCAAAATAGCATCACAGCAGAACCTAGCCTAACAATGCATTGCAGAATTGTATGTTTTTTTCTCTTATTTTATAGAAAATGTACAAACCTTATTCAACTCTATGCGCAACAGCACACTCTGATGAGCTGTCACACATTGTAATGTGTTGTGCATTTCACTGCATAAAAATGCAGACATGCTGCAATTTTGTTCAATGCACATTAACACACTTGTATGGTATGAGCTCTTGGTGTCCTTCAATTGAGCCTACATTGATCTAGCTGAACAACCCCTTAGACAGCCCATACGTTCATCTTTTTTTTTTTTTTCAGCCAGACCATTGATCCAATTCCCCCATCCACACACTCAATGTCAATGGAGCAATAACTCCCTATGTACTACTGGGTTCTGATGGTGGGAGGACTTCCCCACCATCAGAACACACTAATCAGTGTTGCTGGTCATAGCGGATGACACTGATCTGTCAGGAAAAACTTGACAGACTGGTTGTACAGAAGTCCATCTGTAGATCGCCTGCTGTACAACCAAGGCGCCCATAGATGGATCAAAATTTAGCCAGTCCCCAGCAGAACTGGCAAAAATTTAAATCCATGTATGTCTGCCTTTAGTACCATAGACATTGGATTGCAATGTAGGGACTTAGTTTAGAAAAATAGGCTGATAGATACAACTGATAGATAACTCAAAGGACAATTAACCGGTTCCCGCCTGGCCTATGGCCGAATGGCGGCCGGCAAAAACCCTTGTCTCTCTGAGTGGACACCATATGGCGTCCTTTCAGGCATGCGCAGTTTGCATGCCAGCAGAGCCACGCAGTGGCGCTATCTGTCCCGGCCGTCTACCTCGGACACTGCCGATGACAGATCTGTGTACTGGCCCTGTTGTCAGTACCATGTGACCTGCTGTGACCAATCACAGCAGGTCACATGACAGTTGTATACAATGGATGGCTTCCTATCGTGCCATCCATTGTATACAAGTGTGGCTAGCTGTGAATGGTCACAGTGGTCACATGCACAAGCTGGACCAATCACAGCCCAGCTGTGTCATGTGATTAGCTGTGGCCAAATCACAGTTAAGAAAAAAAAAATCCTGAATGAATCGATTTCATTCAGGTAAATGCTTGCTTATAGCAAAGTAATTCTTTGCTATAAGCAAATTGTGTAAAAAAAAAAAAAAAAAAATATATATATATATATATATATAGATCACTTCCCCAAAGTAGTACAATGTTACTATGGTAACATTATACTACTTTGGTCATAGTGAAATATGAAAAACAAATCTTAAAAAAAGAGAAAAAAAAATGTAATAAAAAATAATTTAAAAAAAAAATTAAAAGAGATTATCAATTTTTTTTTTTCGTACTGTCACCAGTCAGTGTCCCTGATCACCGCCATGCCAGTTTATATGATGACACTGTACTGCACTGATGACAGTATGTAAAAAAAAATAAAATAGTGAAAATCATTTTATTTCTTCATTTCCGAAAAATTATGACAAAAAAATTACAACTTAAAAAAACTCGCCATGCCTGTAATGAAAAACGTTGGACTGTCTACTTTGCAAAAAGGGGTCATTTGGGGGATATCTGTACTGTTCTGACATTCTTGGAATTAGATTGGCTGTCAGTACATCAGGATTGATCAATATTCAGATATATACCATAGTTTGTGAACTCTATAACTTTCCTACAGACTAAATAATAAATACTAATTTGGGTTATTTTCACAAAAGACATGTAGCAGAATACATTTTGGCCTAAATTTATGAAGATTACAATTATTTATTTGCAAATTTTTATAACAGAAACAAAGAAAAACATGGGTTTTTTTTTTCAAAATTTAGCAAAAAATAATAAGCCCAGCGGTGATTAAATACCAACAAAAGAAAGCTCTAGTTGTGAGAAGAAAATGATACAAATTTAGTTTGGGTACAATGTTGTATGACCGCGCAATTGTCATTCAAAGTGTGAGAGTGCTGAAACCTGAAAAATGGCCTGGGGTAGGAAGGGGGTAAAAGTGCCCGGTATGGAAGTGGTTAAACCCAAGATCAAACATGTAATATATCAGTTTGCCAGTCTTTTGATGTGGTGCTTGCATTAGTTTGTTATTCTCATACAAAGTAAAAAAAAAAAATGGAAGAAAATCCTAATAAAAAGAAAAGAATACAAATGCAGTCATCACCTCTAAGGAAGAGTAAGCTTCAATATATTACATTTTTGGTGTTGGGTTTAGATACATAAATGCCTAAAAATGAACGGGAACATTTTATAAAGCTTCTACAGTCAAATTACCATCCTATACTAACAGACATAGTAGTCTCTTTTCAGCCTGTGGAAGGTATAAATATATCTATTCTTTGGTTCTTTAGTGTTTTAGTACGTGAAGTGCAGCACTTGTCAAAGAAATCTATCTACTCGGTGGACAAACTAAGATGATATAAAAATACATACACATGGATACCTGACAAGTACAAGCACCACTGAAATAAAAGGCCAGCCAGTTACCAAAAACAAGTCTGTAGCTTCTAAAACGCACTTTTCAAGTATGCAGAAAAAACGTCTGCTACTCTGTGTTTACTTTTTTCCTTTTGCTATACATTTGCTCAAAAATGTTTTAGGGCCAGTTCACACCAGAACGCAGCATGGGAACCCACAGTTTTCCACACCACATTTAAAATGTTCTGTACTTGCGATCTGCAGTGGGTGTCATTGCAATGCTAACAAACCCCAAACACAGGTTGCAAAGACAGTGCGTTTACCTGCATCGAATCGCATGGCACAAAAGTACTATACGATCCGCTTGCTCTGTATTTTTAAAGGTGTGCATGCACTACTTTTGCTGCTGAAAATGAATGAGCTGAAATCGTACTGCACCCGGTTCACATGTAAATTGCACAGAAACGTACGGCGCATTCCTGTGTGGCTCATGGTGTGAACTGGCCCTTAAAACAGAACTTCAAGCAGATTTAATTATTCATGTTTTAACCAAGTTTGTATTCATCCATAAAAAGCCTACATCTGTCTTTATTACATTTCCATTATACCATGAGCAGCCTGGTTAAGCTCTATTCCTTTGCAGAGAAAGGCTAACCTAACCAAAATTTTAGTGAGCTCCACTGTTCAACTTATAATGCATACCAACCAGGGGTGGACTGACAACTCATGGGGCCCCCAGGCAATAGGGCATCATGGGGCACTGGTGTCCTCACCCACACTCAAACCACACCCAAAAAAGCCTATGAAAAAGGTACCAGGGGCATCTCATGGGAGGTCCTTGGGCAGTGCCTGAGTGTCCGAATGGTCAGTCCACCCCTGATACCAACATCCCATGTATTACAAACTTTCCAACCAAAATGACAAAAGCAATTGTAAATTTGTTTCAATGTTGTTAAAAAGTATATCATTTTATTTCAGAATAAATAATAAAATGTTTATAGAAAGCAAGGCTGATTTCATTATAGCAGATTCATGATGACATTAAGAACAACCTCCATATCTGTCCATCCCCATATATATCAGATATATACAGGGGCGGACTGACAACTCATGGGGTCCCGGGCAATCGGGGATCATGGGGCCCCTGTGTCCTTGCCCAAACTCAAAAAAGCCTAAGAAAAAAGTACCAGGGGCATCTCATAGGGCCCCCGACTGACCCCGGGCCCTCGGGCAGTGCCCAAGTTTCCAAATGGTCAGTCCGCCCCTGCAAATATATCTAGTATTTCAAAATAACATGTAACATTTATGATATCATTCTTTAAATGTTACATTTTTAAATACTAGGTAATAATAGAAGATGATATCATAGTTGTTGCATGGCATTTTTAAATATTAGATATATAGGTGATATTTATGGAGATGAGGAGTTAAGGAGGGTGTACTTAATGATTTCATGGATAAGCTATATTGAAATCAGCCTTGCTTTCGATAAACATTTTAAAAACGTATTCTGAAATACAATTATATTATTTATAACAATATACAAATATTGTAGTTTATGAGTACCTTACAGTTAAAGTGTTACTAAACCCTGGACCCTGCATTCACTATATATGGGCTCCCACAGAACACAGAACATGGAAATGCAATTATTTTAGTAAATACAAAGTGCCAAATATTTTTTCTCATCAGCAGTATATAGCAGTCTTGTGACTTCTACAGTGTCCGGCTGAGCACTGGTTAATCTTGGAGGAGTTTTTATTCTCCTGTGACTGTCCTTTGAGGCTGCATGACCTCTATTCTGCAGCGTTCTAGTTCAATAACGCACAGTATTAATACTTCCTCTGTCTGGACAGTGCTGATCACATGCACCCCCCCCCTCCAAAAAAAACTCTAACAATACACATCAAACTGAGCATGTGCAGAGTTTCTCCTAGGGTTCTGTACTATCAGCAGATGGATTGCAGACTGTGGAAAAGGGGAGGATCAGAGAAGACAGGATCAAACAGTCTTTTTATACAATGCAGAGGATTAACCCCTTAGGTTCCACAGTGAGTATAACAAACATGCTTTATTGCATACACAGACTGATTTTACTGTTGTGGGTTTAATAACACTTTAATGTTGTCCTAAAGCATGGAGTTTTTTTTACCTTAATGAATTCTCTGCATTAAGTTAAAAAACCTTCTGTGTGCTGCTCTCCTTCAGCCCTCTTATACTTTCCTAAGCCTGATTTCGATCCAGCGCTGTGCATGAGAGCAGCGGCTCTCTCTACTCTCTCCCTCTTTATTGATACAAAAACAGCAGCAGAAGCCATTGGCTTCTGTTGTCAATCACAGCCAGTGAGGAGGGAGCAGAGGAGGGGGCGAGATGCACTCTGTGCATCTATGGACACACAGAGCACGGCTCAGGAGCGAGGACACACGAGTGTCCCTATAGCATGCTATGGGAGCACTCAGCGGTGGGGAGAAATGGACAGCACTGGCTGGGGACCCCAGAAAAGGCAGTTCAAAGCTGCTCTGTGCCAGGGGCGGACAGACCATTTGGAAACTCGGGCACTGCCCGAGGGCCCAGGGTCTGTAGGGGGCCCCATGAGATGCCCCTGGTGCCCTTTTCATAGGCTTTTTTGAGTTCGGGCAAGGACACAGGGGCCCCATGATCCCCTATTGCCTAGGGGCCCCATGAGTTTTCAGTCCGCCCCTGCTCTGTGCAAAACCATTGCACAGAGCAGGTACGCACAGGGGCGGACTGACCATTTGGAAACTTGGGCACTGCCCGAGGGCCTGGGGTCAGTAGGGGGCCCCATGAGATGCCCCTGGTACCTTTTTCATAGGCTTTTTTTGAGTTTGGGCAAGGACACAGGGGCCCCATGGTCCCCTATTGCCAATGAGTTGTCAGTCCGCCCCTGGGTACGTATAACATGTTTGTTATTTTGAAAACAAAAAAAAACTGGACCCTTTACAATCACTTTAAACTAACACTCAGTGCTTGATGTTAGGAGGGAAAGCAGAGAGAGTGGAGTAATGACTCCATCGGTTTGCAGATGCTCTTTTATTTCCCAATCAGCAGACTGGGGTTGAGGCTTAACGTCACTTGTCTATACTGTGTGGCAGAGGTTTTATGATTACAAGACTGGCTGAACTGAATTCCAAATTTTTTCAAAGGTAAATCAATTCACATATATTTATTTAATCTATGTATCTACTTGCCTGAAGTTTAGCTTTAAGTCAAGAAGCCGCAGGTTTGTATCCCATGACCTCTTCTAACATACTACAGATGATAAAGGAATAGAAGTCACAAAAGATACAGAAAGAAATTGAATCACTTAATAGTGAAACTTGGAAGCATCTTCCACAACATCTTCATAGCTGTAAGCTTCAGAATAAAATCTAATCTGGCCGCAGACAATGTAATAAAGTCTTTCACTGCACAGTGCGCCTGGAGTGCTATATTTCCACATGCTAAGTGATCCAAGCTTTATATGAAACATAGCAAGACCTATTTTTTTTCTGCATCCACTAAGCAGACCAGTGTTCCGTTTTTCAGTCTTCTACCTCTCCCAAATCTTCACATCATGTTTATGTATTTCCTCTACAAAAAAAAAAAAAAAAAAAAAATCTAGACTGAGAAAATATATTTGCTTTGTGCAAAGGGTTTATTTTTTTTTATTACACAGTATGCTTCTGTACATAGAAATTTATTTTTACCCCTATCTAAAAATAACATATTGACAGTACACAGCAATACAGAAATTTCAAGCCTACATATAGCCCAGGTTTTTTTTTTTTTTACGTTTTGGATAGAGGGGGGGGGGGGAGCGGTTAAACAGATTATTTCTTTGCTGTCTGTGTACCGTTGGGGAAATTGCAACCTAACCTCCTAGCACAACTATAATAATATAAAATTGTATTTACTTTGAACACTTTTTTCTATCTAATTTGATTTACATTAAGATCTGACAGTTAAAAAGCTTTATACTAGAAAAAACAAACAAATCTGCATTAAATTAGTTCAGTATAATGTATAATATTTATGAATAATGAAGCAACAGCAAATGTATATTTCATCTTAAAGTAAAAGAAGATATAGAAACCAAGTATGCTTCATGTTTGATTCATGCACCATTACTTATAATGCTGCATTAATAAATTGGTACGATATGCAGAAAAAAAAGATCAAATTAGGTCTCGGTGGAGCACAATTGGCACTAAATAAACTGCATTAAAAAAGAAAGAGGTGTGTGTATTAATCTTTTTCCCACGCAAGTGGAATCATAAAGTGAAGAAACGATAGTAAATAAACCAGCAGCGTTCTAGTTCAATAACGCACAGTATTAATACTTCTTTTGTACACAAACAGTTTTCAAGCACCTGCGATAAACATAATTCACTCCATGCTCATTTATCCCGCCGCGCCCCGCCTCCTACCCACCACGCATCTTGTACCTTGTTCTGCTCTTACTCGCACTTTGCTTTCCCTTCTTCTCCACCTCATTAAAGAGAAATAATGCCCCTGAAAATCGGACTGGAGAGATAATGAATAAAAACAGAGACAAGAAATCATTACTTGCAAAAGATCCGCTTTGTTAAATGAAATAAACAAGAAGTTAATTATTTGGACATAGGGTAATTAAAGTGGGTGAGGGCTAATTGGCCCCAGAGCCTGGACTGCTGCGCTGACAAGATCCTCTGTGATTTTCTTCTTTGCTCATCATCCTGCTGGGAGGGGACCCGCCGCCTCTGAATCTGTTTGTCATTGGTGGTGTGCGGGTTAGTTATTGGCCTTGCTGAAAGACTACACATTTCCCTTACACTGTAATCGATACATCTACTACATCATGGAGTGCTGGGGAAAGCAGAGGACAGTAACGCTGTACTAAACAAATAGATAACATACTACACAAGGCAGCAGGCCAGCAAGAGCTCTGTCTCTCTGCCTAATTCAATGTGGTCTACAAAAACCTACAAAAGAGCTCTTATAGACTGGTTTTTCCAAGAAGTATCCTTACACTAGAAATGTTTATTTTATTATTACTATCATTATTAATAATATTATTATCAGCACCTGCTGCTTACATCCTGTTAGGCTTGATATTACTCCATGAGGGTATCACGTGGTCTGGAATGGAGAAATAAAGTTGGACACACTGGATTGAAATATTTTGGTGGATCACTCATATTTGGACATTCATTTTTGGACTATTTGTTTATATTTATATTGTTTGGTATTTTGGTTTAGGGTTTTGAGTTTCTTAAAAAGAAAATGTTTTAGTAGTATTTTGCTTTCCAGGGTGAAAGTGTGACTTTTCTTGGGGGTGGTTATAGTGAGAGTTTTTATTTAGTTATTTTATTTATTTATTTAGAAATTGCCGATTGCTTTATTGTTTATTATCAGCACCGTTATTGTTGTTGGTATTATTATTATCAATAATATTAACCACTTGCCCTCTAGAGAATTTACCCCCTTTCCTGACCAGGCCATTTTTTGCATTATGGTGCTGCGTTGTTTTAACTGACAATTGTGCGGTCATGCAATTTTCGCTATAAAAAAAGAACAATTTTGAGAAAAAACAATATTTTTGACTTTTTGCTATTAAACATGTCCAGTATAAAAATTTAATAAGAATATTTATTTATTGCTAAATACGCCCTTTAAATTTTTTATAGTAGTAGTATAGTAGAACACAATATTGTTCTAACATAATGTTGCTCTGTCTACACATGCACCACAAATAAATCGCTTAGCACACAATAATATAAAAAACAAATAAACATGCAGAAATTAATAAGAATATGTAATATGTGTAATATATATATATAAGATTGTAAGCTCCTTGCCCTCCTAAGGATGTACCCCCCCTTCCTGACCAGACAATTTTTTGCATTATGGTGCTGCGTTATTTTAACTGACAATTGCGCATTCATGCAACACTGAAACCAAATGAAATGTATGTCCTTTTGTTTCCCCACAAATAGAGCTTTCGTTTGGTCGTATTTAATCACATGTGCGTTTTTTAGTTTTTGCTCTATAAAAAAGAAAGCCCGACAATTTTGAGGAAAAAAAAACGATATTTTTGACTTTTTGCTATTAAACATGTCCAGTAAAAAATGTAATAAGAATATGTATTTATTGCTAAATATTCCCTTTCAATTTTTTATAGTAGTGTCCCTTTAACACAATATTGCTCTAACATAATTTTGCTCTGATCACATGTCTACATGTACACCACAAATAAATCGCTTAGCACACAATAGATATAAAAAAAACAAACATGCAGACATTAATCACTTGCCCTCCTGAGGATTAACCCCCTTCCTGACCAGGCAATTTTTTGCATTATGGTGCTGCGTTATTTTAACTGACAATTCTGCGGTCATGCAACACTGAAACCAAATGAAATTTACATCCTTTTTGTTTTCCCCAAAAATAAAGCTTTCTTTTGGTGGTATTTAATCGCCTGTGCATTTTTTTTTTTTGTGCTATAAAAAAGAAAGACCAACAATTTTGAGAATAACAAAACAATATTTTTGACTTTTTGCTATTAAACATGCCCAGTAAAAAAATTTAAGAATATGTATTTATTGCTAAATATGCCCTTTCAAATTTTTATAGTAGTGTCCCTTTAACACAATATTGTTCTAACATAATGTTGCTCTGATCACATGTCTACATGTACACCACAAATAAATCACTTAGCGCACATTAATATAAAAAACAAAATATGCAGATATTAATAAGAATATGTATTTATTGCTAAATATCTCTTAGATTGTAAGCTCCTTGCCCTCCTGAGGATTTACCCCCATTTATGACCAGGCAATTCTTTGCGTTACAACACTGCATTACTTTACCTGACAATTGCGCGGTCATGCAATGCTGCGCTGCAATTAAATTTACATCCTTTTTTTTCCCGCAAATTGAGCTTTCTTTTGGTGGTATTTGATCGCCTGTGCGGTTTTTTATTTTTTGTGCTACAAGCAAAAAAAGACCGACAATTTTGAGAAAAAAAACTATATTTTTGACTTTTTGCTATTAAACATGTCCAGTAAAAAAATAAAAAAATCTAATTTTGGCATAAATTTAGGCCAAAATGTATTCTGCTACATGTCTTTGCTAAAAAAAAATCCCAATACATGTAAATTAATTGGTTTATGTGAAAGTTATAGCGTTTACAAATGGCAGTATATACACTGGGATTTTTTTAGTTTTTATTTTACTAGTAATGGCAGTGATCAGCAACTTATAGCAGAACTGCGGGACTGTGGCGGGCATTCTGACACTGGGGGGGGGGGGGGGGGGGGACTGACTTGGTGTCACTGACATCCCCAGTGACACCAATATAGTAACCAATGCTAATAAAAAAAGCACTGACACTGTACTAATGACACTGGGCAGGAAGGGGTTAGCATATGGGGCAAACTGTGTGCTATGTGCCGTTTTACATTATGTGCTGTGTTAGTGCTTCACTGTAAGCACACTGCTTTGCATGGCTGTGCTATGCACAGCCATGCAAAGCAGTGTGCAGGAGCTGACAGGGGAGATAACTGTATTGTTTACAAACAGCTCTCCCCGCCTGAAGGAGATGCTTGGCAATCACCGGGCACTGGCAAGTAATCACCGGTCAGGACCCGTTGATTGACAGCCGAGGCCGCGAATGGCGGCGGTTGGTAGGGAATGCGCATGTCTTGCATGTGCCCCCTACCCAGAACTGCAAAATTATTATATATATATATATATATATACATACACATACACACACACACACACACACACACACACACACGATTTTGCACACCTGTGCCATCCTGTAGCAGTACTTCTGCTACAGGGTGGACAGGAAGCAGTTAATACCACGTCACACATTTTGGTGCATCGAATGTTAGACTTGTTCCTGGATATATTTGACACTGCTGACTCCAAACCTGGCATCAATGTTTCCCTATCAGCTCTAGTTTATGAAATACAGCATAAATGCCATATATCACTTTTCACTTTGGTCGCCCATCAAAAATCGGAATATTTTAATGTATTTTTTTTTTAAATGGTAACTCCACTTTAATGGAAAAAAAAATTAGCAAATAAAAAAAAATACTATAGCAGATAGAATTGCAACACACATATTGTAATTGAACTCTGCAGAGTTGTAATTTTCTTTAAAATGCAATGCAATATAGCTACCTGGAAGCACAGACAGTATAGCCAACGCCCCCTAGAAATGTAATTTTCTACTTGCGATTGGCTTACTGACTTTCCCAGAAGTCTGCACTAAGATACAAATCAGATTTTGAGCATTCCCTGCAACAAAAATGTCATTTTTGGTGAGATACTTGCAAAGGTAAATCACATCTATAGGGATACAGACCCTGCAACGTTCCTCATTAGAGCCCTGCATGTGCAGCAGCTGACCGATGATAATGAAATCACTCCCATTCTCCTTCACTCTGCACATGGACACAGACCAACAAGCAGTTATTCCTTCACAATAAGAAAAGGTAGGAATCTGCAACAACGTTTGTTGAAATCCGTGCAATGTACAGAGATCTCCCAGAGGGGAACGCTTTTTTTTTTTCAACAAAAGTAGAGTTACTCTTTAATCTCCTTGTAACATGGAAGAAACACATAAAAAAAGAAGCCATAACCTCCACACTGGTGAGAAAATGAATCAATATGTGTGGCAATATACACACACCTCCTACATGATCAGAACTATAATACAGCTAACGTACTCTTTAGAATCCAATGTTTCCAATGAAAAAAAAAAAAAAAAATCACAGTTTCACTATATCAGCTAACTTGCACGCAAAAACCCAAACTAGGTAACAGAAGAACAAGTTGATCATTTCATTATCTGACTAAAAAAATTATATAAATTCGACCACATCTAAGAAATTGGAGCTTATGCAGTCTAAGCCAGTGTTTCTCAACCTTTTTTCACTCAAGGCACCCTTTAAAATGATGGACAATCTCAAGGCACCCTTCAACATTCTGCACAATCTCAAGGCACCCCATTCTAAAATGTAAAAAAACTATTCTAATAGTTTTACATAATACAGCAACATCCACATTCATAGGACACCCAACGTTAGAGGTGATTTATTCTTCCAAAGCAAATATTTCTTTGCAAACTGGTACTGACTAGTGTTCCAGTGTTTCTCCCTTAGTTTCTCTCCCTCACTCTGCTAATGTGACCCCGCTGCTGATAAAGAGGGGCAGGGGAGGGGCAAAGAAGTATGCTGTGCAGGCGCCCAACGTCCTCCTTATCAACTAATGATGTAATTGGTTGCTAGGATGCCGGCAGCTGGCAGGTTGTAAAGGTGTGCAATGAAAACCTATGGCTGTGTAATTAAAAGGAAGGCTTGATCCACCTACTGGCTTGTATACAATTTTTGGGCAGTTATTAGGCATATTGCCAAGGCACCCCTGACAAAGCCTGAAGGCACCCCAGGGTGCCTGGGCACCCTGGTTGAGAAAGGCTGGTCTAACCAATACAATTTTCTGAGTCAGCACCCCAAATAGCACCAAGAACAGGTGTAAAAAGCAAGGCACTGAAAAAAATATAAATAATTAATTATTAATAATAATAATGTATTAGTTTTTATTTTATTTTATATGGTGAAAGTATATACACAATATATACACACGATTATTGCTCAACCACTACAGTATCCTATAGTGCAACTATGATTAAATTGTTTTATATTGTCAATGGACTGCCTAGTTGTGAACCTTCACAAATGTAATATAGTTCTAAAAATATTGGTGAATGTCCTTTTGTGATTATAGGTATGCAACCAAATATAGGACATATATATGGAAACTGGGGCATGCTTAGCAAACCACATTTGTTAGTGGATTAGTTGTATGTGTTCTGTCATGGTTATGCATTTCTGATACACATAGTAAATAATGTGAGAGTATGATTTTGCACCCAGATACATGTATACGGTATTATTCAGTAAATATGTGTATAAATGTGTAAACCGTACACTATATTCCCAATAAAAAAAAAAACTTAAAAGCTGAGGATGTAGGACTGCTGTTATAGAGCAACAGGATACAGTTATGACTTACCAATTATGTCTCATGTGAGGTGGTGTATTTGATAAGTGCTATCCACAGCTCTTTCACCAACTACATCACCAACCTGGTCTCAAAATATCAACCAAACCGCTCTCCTCAATTCCCCAAGACCTCCTTCTCTCTCTAGTTCCTGTGTCGCCTCCTCCCATGCTCGTCTCCAGGACTTCTCCTGAGCTTCTCCCATCCTATGGAACTCCCTACTCCAATCTGTCTGGCTATTTCTTAATCTAACCACCTTTAGATGATCCCTGAAAACCTCTCTTTAAAGAAGCCTGCCCTGCTTCTAACTAGTAAACTGCCTTTTATTTCCTCCATCAGCTCATCCCCCCCACAGCTATTACCTTTTGTATCACTCAACCCTTCCTCCTAGATTGTAAGCTCTAACGAGCATGGCCCTCCGTTTCCTCTTGTACCAAATTGTATTTGTAACGTCTACCTTCATTTTGTAAAGCACTGCGCAAACTGTTGGTGCTATATAAATCCTGTATAATAAAAATTAAAAAAGTGCTAACTGAAAGCTTAAAGTGAAAAAGAGCAGGCATCGCAAGATGTTTGCTATTGCCTTCCTTAGCCAAAAAACTGTCTTCTGTGGACAGGGGGGTGGTGGGTGGGTTTGGACCTGAAGTTTGGAAAATCAAGTCCTTAGCAACACAGTGAATCCAATTTCAGAAGCAAACTTCCTCCAATCAAATATCAGTAGCTGAGTAACAAAGGTCATTTTGTAAGAGGTAAAAAAAAGAAACGTGGGCCATAAAAGAAGAAGGGCCATGAGACTTAAAAGTCAGGAGCAGAGGTTTCTAGCACATCAAAGTGAAACAAGTCTTGGTGCATGTAACCATCTCTTCTGAGGAAGAAATCAGTATTGTTGTAAAGTAACTCATGAACTGCAAAACTGTACATTCATTTTTTTTCAGAGAGAACAGAGTGAGCTGATAATAAGACACCACATCCTATTGAATCATGCTAATAGAGAATACTCAATAAAAAATAGACTTTTAAGGCTCCCAAGAATTACAGACTAATTGTTGAAAGTATTTAGAATTTTATTACACCTGATCCTAAAAACCACAATAAATTTAGTACATTAAAAACTATGAAGCAAACATCATGACTCCTTCCTAGTTAAGGGAATCCCATATATATATATATATATATATATATATATATATATATATATATATATATATATGTATATGTGTGTGTGTGTGTGTGTGTGCCCAAGTAATTTTTAACCAGATCTGAAGCCTAGTATTTTACATGACAATCATCTCCTTATCATGGGATTCCTGCTTGTCTCTACGCGTTTTTAGGGATACAGAGATTCACGTCCTCAGGAGAATGGGGAGAACATATCTAATATATTAATATCTGTTCAAATATACAAAGATACAAAAAAAATAAAAATATATCTAATCACATTGTTCATGCACATTAGATCACTTTCAATGCATCATATAAACTACAAGTGTGAAGGGTTTACTCAATACTCATTGAGACCTGTAGACCAAAAATTCAAGAGGCCAAGCCATCAAGATCCCAGGAGGTGAGTGTAGGAACACACTGTTAACAGCAGTTTGAAGGGACTATAAGAGTGGAAAGATCATGAATTATATTAATCTTGCTTAGCTAGCCGTAGCATCTGTCTAACATATCAATAATAAAGCAAGAATCCTAACACAGTAGATAGCAAGCAGTCACACTGCTATATTGATACAAAAAAAACACTTAATCCAGAAGTGTTTATGGGCCATCTTGGAGTAATACCTTCGCTTAATACCGCTTAGAGGAAATTCAGGAAGTGGCTAAAGTGAAAGGAACATGGAGGGATAGTATATAATTATGAACCCCATCATGGCCAAAGTATTGTTAGTACTTATACATATACACTCACCAGCCACTTTATTAGGTACACTTTGCTAGTACCAGGTTGGAGCCCCTTTTGCCTTCAGAACGGCCTTAATTCTTCATGGCATAGATTCAACAAGGTGTTGGAAACATTCCTCAAAGATTTTGGTCCATATTGACATGATTTATTGTTGTCTTTCTATAATTTCAAACCAGTCTCCCCATTCTCCTCTGACCTCTGACATCAACAAGACATTTTTGTCCAGACAACTACCATTCATTGGTTATTTTCTCTTTTCTGGACCATTCTCTGTAAACCCTAGAGATGGTTATGTGTGAAAGTCCCAGTAGATCAACAGTATAAATACTCAGACCAGCCTGTCTGGCACCAACAACCATGCCACGTTCAAAATCACTTCAATCCCCTTTCTTCCCCATTCTGATGCTTGGTTTGAACTTCAGCAAGTCATTTTCACCACATCTACATGCCTAAATGCATTGAGCTGCTGCCATGTGATTGCTAATTAGCAATTTGTGTTACCAAGCAATTGAACAGGTGTACCCAATAAAGTGGCCGGTGAGTGTATAAAGAA